AGGTAGGGTTGCGTCCCAGCACTTCCACCAGTGTCACGGTACAGCGTGAACCAAAGGCAGATAAACGTCGACACAGGGACTCTCAGCAGCCAAACAGCAAGATCGCCTTCTTTATCTTCAATCAGCCAGAGCTCCACTACCTGGTGTCCGCCAAATCCCCTTATCATCGTTTTGGTCCACCAGTACACACGCGTCAATAGCCTCCAAGATGGCGGGCGCATGCGCCCACCCTCGAAGGCCATAGCAGATATTTTCGGTTCAACTGCACCCCACTAGGTGGCACAGCATGTCCAGCGTAACTACGCAATTGAATTTTTCAACCACTTGCGCCATTCGTCATAGTAACGCCCGGCGGTTCTTGTTTCCATGAATCAAACAGAAACGAATAAGCCGCAGTTTATTGTATCTCTGGATGCACGGAAGGTTCTTTATTTAGTGCAGCTACATCGATTACTAGTGATTAATTGTAGGCGGCCCGTCTGATGTCATAGAGATCATTTTAGGAATGTCTGACTAAAGCGCTTGTGTTCTTATGCATTTGCCTATATTTCTCGGCGAGTAGGGCACTGTTGTTGATAACGTTGTTTTAGATGTTGTCATACACTGAGCTTTCTCTCCGACGTAAACTGTAAGTGCACTAAGCCATAAAGGGACTTTAGTGTCCCTTTATGGCTGACTGCATTTATGAATGCATGCCGTTGTTTGCTTCAGGCTTATTGATTGAATTACAGTCAAGCCCACTTATAACGAACCTGGGTCTGACGCGGCATTCGTTTGCTGTATCCTGAAGTTCGTAGTAAATTAAACACGGCTTTTAAGAAAGTTGCGAATAAAAACACACTTTTTTGCCCCAAAAAGTCCATGATGCACATCTTTTGAGAGCAGAAGCGATAAGGGCGGCCTCGAGTTCATTTAAAACGGCAGGGTGCTCGTTCGCTGAGGCCCGTGGCATAACCTGCATGAAGCACTGGCTCCAAAGTTTCGTCGTTCTCGCAATCCGATTCCTCCAAATAGCTCTCACCCAAATTTGTGCCCAAATTTGTGCACGGTTCCGCAGTGTCGGCATCATCATTGGCCGTAATTAAACCATCGCAATAGATGTCCCACCTGCTCTCCCAGGTCAGAGTCGACGACGCGCTACCACAAATCGCTACAGGAGATCCTGTTCCGAAGCTTCAGGCTATGCATCGGGCCAGACGTCGACGAAGTCGGCCTCGCAAGAACAGTTTCGCACGCGTGTAGCCGTCGCCGCCGGCCACGGAATATGCACCATCTCCACAGGTGAATACAGAGACCCCCGAATCAGCAAGTTGGCTGCCCGGTGGTCAAGAGCTATGAGGAAGTGCTCCGCAATGTGGCACTTAACGTGCGGATTACGCACAAGCCAAACGGTCACACTTTCGGCGTTTCGTTCAGAGGCAGAAAGAAGCGTGCAAGTCCTCCCTCTGCCATCCTGAAAACACATGCACACCAAGAGCGAGCAAGACGCGTACACGCGACACAAATGCCAGAATGCGTGGAACAGATCTTGGCCCGTTTCTAGTCAGAAAGCGAAACTAATTAGAGCGAGCGTGGCTAGCGTCGCGGAGCGGTGGAGACGTGCGAAGGTGTGTGATGAAGAGAGGAGAGCACATTTGCGAGAGAAGAAGGGCAAGGAGTTGCGATAGTGAAGAGAGTGGAGGATGCCGCGGGAGGACGACCTTGAAAACCAGAACACAAGGGAACGAGGCAGGTTGGGTAGCTTGCTTGAAAGGTCCGTGTAAGGCACAACGTAGAAAAAATTGAAAGAGTGCCTGCGCGCGCAGAAGTAAAAACACTGCCGCCTGGATTGGTGCGCACGGCGGTGTTCAAAGAATCGGTAGCCGTGGTCAAAAAATTGTTTTGTTGCGCCAGCACATTTGCGTGGCCTCACCAGCTTCGTTATTTCGTGATTTGTTCCGCGCAAATTAACAGCCATTTTCGTGCTTTCAAACGCTTGCGGAGAGCATGCTGAGCGAGAACAAGTCCTAAACACAAAACGAATCGCAAATTATCAGAGTCGGTGGGGTGCACGCGCGAGCACTAGACGCAAACGATCGGACACACTCGGTGGCCGACAATGTTGGCAAATGGTCTGGTCACTCCAGGCCGGCGACGCCAATGACAGTACCAGCGATTAAAAACAGGGTAGATGGCCAACCGGTCTACGACAGATCGGTGGCAGTGTGAAAACATGGGCCTCGTCTGGCGATGAGGGGTGTTCAGAGTAGCGAGAGGGGGGGGGGGGGGGGGGGGGGGGCAAAAGACGGAAAGGTGCGTAACAAAAAGCGGTCGGGGAGAGCGGAAACTGAAGGGGTGAGGAGGCAGGGTCAACGTTTAATAATAAGAATGTATGGGCACCTCGCCAATGCCTGATCGGTGGTAGAAAGAGGTTTCCCGGGATGTCGGCAGAGCGCCGACTCTGTTCACTGTAACCGATCAGCGGTGCTCGGAGACGTTCGTTATGAGTGAGATTTTGTGCCATTGAACCAATGTATATTTTCATGGTCACGCAGATATTGTTCGTTTTAAGGGGGGACACGGGTCTTAAAAGGCCGAAAATAGCGAAAAAAATCGACTTTTTGAACTTGACATTTTCGGAATCTGCAACTATTTTTGGACTTATCTGAGAAGTTTCTAGCTTCTCACGTCATTACTTCTGGCACAAAATCAATTTATAACACCCCTGTGAGATAAATCTGAGCACAAATAACAGCTAAAGTAGCGCTTTCTCCACACCGAACCGTTGCCGTTATACAAAGAAACCTCGTTAAAACGTAGTTGGCCAGATCTCGGAAAAAGTACGTACTTAACCGAAACAGCGTCAGGTCGCTCACTTACCTGTCAAAAAAAAAAAAAAAAAGACTTTCAAGGAGTGCGATGAAAGAACAAAAACCGTGCAGTAATTTATTAACTTCGCGTGGCAAAGTCTGTAATCTTCAATTGACGACGCAGAGGCCTAGCAGCAATGACAGCGGCCTCAAACTCACTTATGCTGTGAGCCAGCTTTTCCGCCAGCCCCCTCTTCTCGGCAAATACCCGCATGACGCTGACGCAATGCGCAGCTTCGGCCACTGTCGGACTTGGATCCCCCGTGCTGTCGCTTTCCATGTCGTCCTCATCACTATCATTAAGCGACACTTCGACAAACGAGGCAAGAATGGCTTCGTCGGACATGTCCGGAGATGTGTGCACATCGCTGTCTGTGTCTCTGAAGTCCCAATGCGCAGCGCGCTTATCTCCGATGCGTTCTTTGCCCTGTGAATGGGGGTGGGTGGGCGGGGAGGAGGGTTGATGCTTGTGCACGCAAGCTTATCTTTCGGTGGGGAGAATCGTGTGCTTTCGGCTTTCACTGGAACCATTGCGTTAGTTGCCGGGGCCCACAAAGTATCTTTGGTCTATGCGAAAACAGCACGCTTTTCATACACAGCAAGGTATAACTGGGACACTTGTTAGTTTGTACTCATCCGTACCTGTGATCATGTATCGACCATCACTTTTTTTTTTTTTTTAAACGGCGTGTTACGCGTCGAGCGGTAAACGCTGTGCATTTCGATCGGCTTGTCGTTCTCAGTGTGACATTACAAGTTGTTGCTGTCGCATTCATTGCTTTGCCGCAAGGGCGAAGCAATGAATGCGATGAAACTGCGACTTTTTTTACGTATTTACTGCCTTTAGTCTACCGCTGCGTGCCCTCGGAGCTCGTAGATTGCTATCCGCAACGGCGATGTTTTGTGCGGCGGTTGCGGCAAATGGTAGTTCCTTTTTTAATCCCCGTGCTCTTCACAGCGCACACGCCTTCAAAACAAAGTCGTTTTATGCCGTCTACGATTGCATCTGCCGCGGTTTTGTCCACAGGGTTTGTGGAAATCAGCGTTGCTTTGACTGGTGAGCGTTGGACGCATGCACACTTTCGGGACTCTGTCAGTTACGTCGTCGCCATATATGATCGCATCAGAAGCGACCACGGTTTCGTCGACAGCGGTTGTGGCAACGACAATCATGCACACTATAACAGACAGTGCGTGCACCGGTCGCACATGTACTTCCGAAGCTTCGAGAACGCTGCTCTTGGCCTTCGTTCGACGATTTCCGCACTAGCGTTCGTATCACCCGCCGCGACAAGGAAACATGTTCAGAACATTCGAATTTAGGCCCGATAAACAAAGTAGAATTTCGCTGAGGAATTTCACGAATTCGTATCTGCCGCGGTTTTGCACCACTGAGATTTTAACAAAGTAGAATTTCGCTGAGGAATTTCACGAATTCGTATCTGCCGCGGTTTTGCACCACTGAGATTCTACTATACGTTTAAATGAACGCCTCTTAAACTCATTCATAATAATATGGGGTAAGTCCGAAAAGCCTGGAATGAATTGAGCTGCTTTTTTGTCAAAGCGGCCGCATCACGCACAAAAATTTCGATTTCTAGGAGATTTTCGTGACAACCGTACAAACGGAAGAATGGTCCAAATCCGGGAGACTTGGCAGGTATGCAAAATGCATTATGTCCAATGGCCACCGAGTGGGGGTTCGACTTTACTACTTTTAAAACGAAACTACTGTTTAAGCAGGTACAGTTTAACAAGGTTTTACTGTACACACACAAGCGCCCACAGTGCCCCATCACTTTGTACACCATAGTTGCAACACAAAGCCAATGCAGCCAACGTAACGCTCAATGCACGGGCCTGCCATAAATGATGTGAACAGTGGTTACTTATACACGAAAAAGTGGGTGCATTTTTTTTTTTTTTTCCTGGTCCATCGTTTAAAAGCTCGGCACCAATTTGAACAGGGCCAAAGAAACATCACAGAAGGATGGCAGCCGTCTCCTAGTCCATGTTTAACTTAGTGTTGTGTTTTTATGGGTGGATCAGTACTAGTCGTTTGGGTCTGTACTAACCATGGGTGGATCTGCAAGTCATTTTTTCAGGGCCCTATAGGAGGACTGCACACGACCAAAGTAAAGGGGAGCTCACCTTTTGCCCTGGATGTGGAGGCCTTTGCCCCACCAGTTTTGCCTTTTTTTCCCTTGGCCTGTCCCACCCGAGGTGGAGGCAAAGGCAGGTCCGTCTCCTCTTTGGGCATCTCCGTTATCTTGGTCAGGAAGAGCTTTTCCAGGGCCTGAGCCATGAGCACCACATCCTCGCCAGGCTTGTTGTACACGTAGCAGTTGGTGAACATAGTCTTGAAGTCCTCAATGCACTCCTGTGCCGAGGAGTAGTAGCAGTGCTCCAGCCGTTTCTTGATGGTGCCCAGATCCATTGGATGCCGGATAATGCGGTGGTAGTCGGGCAAGTTCAGCTTCACCGTGTCCACGGGCTGCTGGAACGGCCAGGCAAACTGATGCTTCCACAGAGCCTTCATCACCACTTTGAGCAAGTGCTGCAGCTGGTTGGTGGTCCGCTGCCGCCGCGAGGCCGGTGGAAGAAATGGAGGCTGAACCACCCCGTTGATAGGCTCCAGGATGGGCTCCTCCCGGGCTGCAGCACCGCTGCTGCTGCTACTGTTGCAGTTTGGCTCTGTCCCACTCTGCGACGTAGGACCAACGATTAAGAGACTACTTTCCAGATGTCTGAAAGCAATACTTAAAACACATCAAATGCTTACCAGTCTTCGGTTTCGTTTTTCAAGGGTGGCCTGAAAGCAGCCAAAATATACACCAACGCTCTACTATACACCTTTAAAAAGGACACACATATTCTCGGCATCTCCTTACCGAATTGGAGATCTGCCTGCGCTTTTCAGGCGTCTGAAAACGTACCCAGAATTATGCCTATACCATACTACAAATACTTAGCTAAAGGCGTATTATAAGCTTCACCTTACCGATTTGGGAATCTGCCTGTGCTTTTCAGGCATCTGAGACATACCCAGAATATATGCCAATACCACGTTAGAAACATTTAACAGGTGCACGCGTATTCTCAGCACCATCTTACCGATTTGGCGATCTGCCTGTGCTTTTCAGGCGTCTGAAAACGTACCCAGGATATATGCCAATGCCCTACTACAAAGATTTAAAAAGGAAACACTATCAGCATCTCCTTACCGATTTGGGGATCTGCCTGTGCTTTTCAGGCATCTGAAACGTGCCCAGAATATATGCCTATAACATACTACAAATATTTAACAGGTAAACGCGTATTCTCAACACCATCTTACCGATTTGGGGTTCTGCCTGTGCTTTTCAGGAATCTGCAAACGTACCCAGAATATATGCCAATACCATACTAAAAAGAGTTAAAAGCACGGGCGCAACAGTCGAAATAGAATTCGGAGAAATGGAGCAGCAAAATGTTACTTTTGGAGCACAAAAGCCAAACTTGGAGCAGTTCACAGAGGAAAAAACACCAATTCTTTATCCTGAAAGACCAGATTTGTAGAAGTATGAAAAAAAAGTATATAAAAATTCACAAGCTTTTCTACAATCTCTAAATCCTACAGCGTGAATATGAACACTGCGATTTCAACAGAAATAGTATTTTGAACCAGACCACTCTACAAACAATCATAAAGTGCACATTGGCATTTGCCCAGTCTGCAAATCCATTGAAAATGTGTCTCAATAATTGCCAGTAACTTTTTTAGATGTCATCGCTCATATTAGTACTCACAATTATGTGGTGTATACATGCATGAGTAATTGAAAAAACTGCTACGTCCCATAACTGGTACTGTGGCGTATACATGCATGAGTAATTGAAAAAACTGTGCTACGTCCCATGACTGGTGCCAACAGCCCCTTCCAAATCTCAAATTGCTTTGCCGCAGGCCAAACGAGTAGTGCGGCGAAGGTGGCTTACGTGGCGCTCTGCACGGGTTAAAACAAGGCCAAGAGACTGTGAAACCGCTTCACCCCCCCCCCCCCCCTCCCCATCTCCCCTTTTATCTTGAAAACAAAGTTAGCTTTAAGGCACAACTTTTCAGCTCACTCGCAAGGCGCGTTTCACTAGATAAAGTTAACACCACAACCCGCCCATTGGCCCGGCAACAGCACCACATATTTACTGTACGTGTCATTGCTATGGCAACCGACGAAGTCGCCAGCAAAGCCGGCGTTCACAGCACGTCAAATTTGTTCACGCGCAATAACAGCGACATACACTTCCAACCTTAGTTCCTAACATGTCGTAACCGCGTTTGCTGACCCACCAAGTGTTCCTGGCTACGACAACGCTTTTTGTCAAGTTGTGTCGTCCCGCCGATAGATGTTCACAGCAGTCAGTGGACCAATAGACGCGCAGCATTGTTACTTTATCTGAGCGATCGCGTTTTGCAAGTGTCCTGAGGAAACCGTGGTTTAGGGCTAGGGTCTGCACGCCTGGATTGACGGATGACACAAACTACAGGTGGCCAAACGTGGCTTCCATTTCTGGCTGAAATAAGCGCAATAGAGAAAATTTTGAGGCTAATCAGGCATTATGGAGCAGCATGGTGCAATTTCGGCAAATCTCTTGATTTTGGCACCGCTCGACGCAAAAAATGGGGAATGGTATCAAATTTGCCGCAATCGGCGCAGTTGTTGCACCCCTGCAAAGGTAAACGCTTATTGGCAGCATCCCTTTACCGATATTGGGATCTGCCTGTGCTTTTCGGGCATCTGCAAACGTACCCAGAATATATGCCAATATCATACTACAAAGATTTCAAAAGAGAACCGCATCTTCTCAGCATCTTCTTACCGATTCAAGGCTCTGCCCGCGCTTTTCAGGAGTCTGAAAACATACCCAGAATATATGCCAATACCATTCTACAAAGATTTAAAAGGTTTGGTTTTTGTGGTACATAGGCAGCTTAGGCCATCATGCACCAAACGCATGGTATGATTCTTTTAAAATGTTGGGATGCCTCGCCGAGTCCTTGCCTAGGCAAGAGCCTTGAGGATACCAACCAGGTCTAAAAAAAAAAGAAATCTCGATCGTCTTCTCAAAAGTGGGAAGCCCTACGAGGTGTTCCTGTGTATTTAAACGATGCAGTGTATAAGTTTAGAGTTTGTCTAAAACTCCTGCTTCTTTTAGGAAGCTAGAAACTTCCGAGTTAACAAGCGCGTCTTCACTTAAAAGCAGTGCAGGATGTTGACTGTAAAATACGATAAAATGTTTTATCCGTAATTCTTCTAGTTTCGTGCACGACATTAAAATATGATTTACAGATAGCTTGCCTCCGCATTTCGGACACTGAGGTTTGTCCTCTTTTGCTAGTAAGTAATTGTGGGTGAGGTGTGTGTGTCCAATGCGTAAACGACATAAAACTACTTCTATGAACCGTTCCTGGTGTGAGCAGGACTTCCATTCCTCTAAGGTAAGTTTCACTAGGTGGAGCTTATTTTCTGTTTCTGAGTGCCATCTAGCCTGACATGCGTTTCCGAGTTTGTGGTGTACTGATTTTACGACATCTTTGTAGGGAATGCCAACGTTCTTTATTTCTTTACATCGCGCTTTTGCTGCATCTGCTTTCTTGTTTCCACAGATTCCGACGTGGCTCGGTACCCAGCAAAGCTTTATGCAGTGTCCCTGTTCTATAACTGTTATTATGTTGTGTAGGATGTCGCCTATCATTGGTACACACGCATTTCTCGGATGAAGGGCTCTTAGTACACTTAATGAGTCTGTGTATATTATACTTTTCTCGATGTTTTCATTTTTGATTTTTTTCACCGCTATTGATACAGCGTAGCATTCTGCGGTAAATACGGATGCACATTGCAGTAACCGAACTGTATGTTCCCAGTGATTGTGTACTGCCGCACTTCCAACATATCGTGTCGATTTGGAACCATCGGTGTAAAATGCTGTGTCTCGCATATTTTGCCTGAATTGCTAGAAATTCTTGTAGTATATGCTCATGCGGAGTTTCCTTTTTTTAAAATTGAGTCAGCGTGAAGTCGCACACAGAGGGGAGGCAGTACCAAGGAGGGAGTGCATTGGGTCTCTCAGCAATCATCGGCAACGTGTCCTTTATATTTAAGTCTCGGCACGTCTCTTCAAATCTGAGGAGGAGCGGCCTAATTGCTTGGGGTTTGTTAAGAAAAATTGTTCTGGATGGGCATTGATCGAATCTTTAGAACATATGAGCATGATTATTCTGTCTCCCAGTGATGGTTCATTTGCTTCTGCATACACTTTTTATAGGTGACGTTCTAAATGCACCGGTTGCGAGGCGCAGACCTTGATTGTGTACCGGGATCCAGCTGTTTCAGATACGATTTTCTCGCTGATCCATATACTATACTACCATAATCTAGGAAGGATCGTACAACAGAGCGGTAAATTTGTAGTAGGCCAGTCTTATCTGAACCCCAGCGTTTGCGTGACAGAACCTTCAGTATGTTCAGAGATTGGGATGCTTTTTTCTTTAACGCTTTTATGTGTGGAAGGAATGTAAGCCTTTTATCAAATACTATACCCAAAGACTTGTGTTCTTTCATTACTGGTAATTCCGTTTTCGTAAGGTAGGGTCTGTCTGTATACCTCGTTTGAGAGAGAAGACAACGGCCACAGTTTTTTGTGCAGAAAAGCGGAAACCGTTTCTGTCTGCCCATATTGTTGGTCTGTTAATCGCTAACTGCACTTGTCTTTCACATGTCGATGCGTTGCAGGATGTGCTAGCTATTTGGAGGTCGTCGACGTAGAGTGAGTACATAATGGACTTGTGTATTACTTTGCCGATCGAGTTCATTTTTATGACAAATAGTGTTGTGCTTAGAATGCACCCTTGGGGTACTCCATTTTCTTGAGTGAAACTTTTCGATAGAGTTGAACCTAGGCGTACCTAGAATGAACGGTTAGACAGAAAGTCTTTGAGGCAGTTCAACATCCTTTCGCAGATTCCTAGCTCAGCCAGGTCCTGGAGGATTCCGAACCTCCAGGTGATGTCGAATGCCCTTTCTAAGTAAAAAAAAGACGGCCGGACAATTTTGTTTGTGCATGAAGGCTTCACGGACAGTGTGTTCGAGTCGTACTAGGTGATCGGTTGTGCAGCATGATTTTTTAAAACCGCACTGATGAATATCGAGGAGTTTTCGTGATTCTAAGACAAATGACAGCCTAATATTAACAACACTTTTGAAGGACTTTGCGAGACAGCTGGTGAGAGCTATCGATCGGTCTGTAGCTACTAGCACTGGTTGGTGGCTTTCCCGGTTTCAAAAAAGGGATGATGATGGCCTTCTTCCAGGCTTCAGGTAATTTTCCGGATATCCAAACTTGGTTGAAGAATGTTAAAAGTATTTTACGGCGCGTTCGGAGAGGGGCTAACATTTGGTAGTGTATCTCATCGGGTCCCAGTGCAGTTTTCTTGCCTGCTGTCAATCCTGTGCATATTTCTTGATAGGTAATTAAGCAGTTGTATGGTTCTTTTGTGTTTCCTCTTGTTGGAAGTGTTTGTGTTTCAGAAATGATTATGTATAGTGTGACGAGCTGGAAACAGCACAGAAGAATTCACCTAGAATATTCGCCTGTTCTTCAATACTTGTCTGTACGCCAGGAGGCGTCAGCAACGATACAGTGAACGAAGAAAACTTGTAGTCAATCTTCCGGACCCGTTCCCACATTACCTTTGATGTGGTGGTGCTGTTTATGGAAGAGATGTACTTTTGCCACGATGCTTTTTCAGCGTTGCGCCGAATGTATCTGGCCTTGGCTCTAGCTTTTTTTTAAAACTTACAAAGTTTTCCGGTGTTGGGTACCTGCAAAAGGTCCCCCAGGCTTTATTTTGCTTCTTTTTAGCTTCTCTTCATTCGCATGTATACCATGTTTTGCGATTTTCTTTTGCGAGTCCAGATGTCTGAGGGATAGATAGCCGGGCAGCTGTTACGATGCAGTTATTAATTCATTCGTTTTGTTCATCTATGTTGAGTCCTGTTTCTAGTTTTTCCAGGCAAGCCTTTTCTTGGAATAGGGCCCAGTCGGCTAAATGTAGCTTCCAACGTCATGGTTTTTGATGAATGACTTGAGGTGGTGTTGTTTGGCTGATTAGTATGGGCAGATGGTCGCTTCCATATGGGTCGTTCAGTACATACCACTTAAAATCCATAAAAAGAGAGGATGAACAAAATGATAAGTCTATTCAGCTCATTTTTCTTGAGCTAGGAGAGCAGTAGGTTGCTTTTCCTGTATTAAGTAGGCATATTATGTTATTGCTCAATAAAAAAATTTTCATTTTGTCCTCTAGTGTCAGTTTTTTCACTACCCCAAAAAACGGAGTGTGCATTAAAATCTCCAACTACCAAAAATGGCTCTGGCAGCTGTTCTATAAGGTGTTCTAAATCAGAAATGTATATTTTAAGATGTGTCTCCAAGTATGCGCTGCACAATGTAATCGATTTCAATGTGTGTATGGTGGCCGCCACGGCTTCTATTCTGGTTGTAAGTTTGTGTTCTCGCGCTGGTACTCCGCTCTTGACTATAATTGCAACACCACCCGAGAGCCTACTTGCCTGCTCTCGGTCGTGCCAGAATACACTGTAGTTTTTAAAGATGTTTTTATGTTTAGGACCTAGATTAGTTTCTTGTAAACACAAGGCTACAGGTGAGAAAGTAGCTAGTATGTCCTTTATGTTGTTCAAGTTATGTAGGAGTCCCCTGCAGTTCCAGTGTATAAAAGCCATGTTGTATGTTACGGGTAGTGTAAAACTTAAGTTTTCTTATCAGGCCCAGTGATTCTGGGTTTGTCTTTTTTTTTTTTCGATCTAAGGAGTCCCGCTGTCGTTCTAACGTCGAAGGTCCAGGACTACCCTGACTTGTGTCCATCGCATCGCCTGACACGATGGACGACCGTCCTGATTGCACGGATTTCTCGTTTAGCCTTGCCGCATGGAGAGAGGCTGTGAGGCTCGCTGACCCTAGGGTTCGCACAGCCCGAGTTTGAGGTAGTGGTGCAGCGGGAGCTGCGTCCACTTTGGGCGCTGGGTGCCCTGCCCTGACGTCACTAGGTGTGCCCTGAGCAGGCGCTGAAGGCCGCTGTGTTGCCGCGCCCTGTTGCAGCACAACGGAGTAGCTTCTGCTTTTCATCAACGAAAGACGCTTCCGCGCTTCTCTGAAGCTGATGTTTTCCTTAACTTTGAGACTAACAATGCTTTTTTTCTTGTTTCCATATTGGGCAAGCACGCAAGTACGATGACTACCCTCACAGTTCACACAGTGGTGTGGTTCGACTTCGCAATTTTTGGAAGTGTGTTCGTGAGAGGCACACTTAGCACATGTGTTTTGGCCTCTGCAGCTCTGCGAGCCGTGGCCGTATCGTTGTCATTTAAAGAAGCGTCGCAGGTTTGGTATGTATTGGCGTAGTTTGAGTTTGGTGTATCCAACCTCCACAGTTTCTGGTAGTATGCTCGATGCGATAGTGAGAAACGAAGTGCTTTGTTTGTATTTCCTTTTTTTCTCGTTTGATTTTTATTCTATACACACTTGTGACATTTTGGTCCTTCAGTTCATCCAGGTGTTCTTCTTCACTTACATATTTGAGGCCATCATCAGAAATGACGCCTCGGACAGTGTTTAGTGATTGGTGAGGTGTAATAGACACTGGAATGTCTTCGAAGGCAGTGATTTTTGAAAGGTTCTCATACTGGTGCTTGTACAGTACTTCCAAAAGAAGGTCACCATTGGCTAGTTTCTTGATTTTACACCCTTGCCCTAAGGTGTCGGTTAGGGTTCTGGATGCTTTGAAAGGGGAGACATGTCTCGCTGTTCTTTCTGCGTGCTCGCTGTGAATCACATGGAATCTTGGGAATGTGCATTGGTTGTTGGTGAAAAATTTGTGTTACATCGGTGCGCGTCCTCTTTTGAGGGTGGCGATCAGGTGAAAAGACTAGAGAGTCCATCTAGTTTGTGTGTGCTTCAGTTGCAGTAGCAGCCATCCACCATGGAGCCCAACGAGGGGACGGGACAAGGTCTCACGTGCAAGACCTGCCCACGCCAGCTGTATACCACGACTATAACCGAATATGGCTTAACTCAGGGTGGTAAGCCACACAAGGTTAATGCCACCAGAGAAGATGGAAGCAAATAGAAGAGAGGAGTAGACAGGACAGACAAAAAGTGAGGAGAAAGACGAAGATGTAGGGAGACAGAGATAGGAAAAGGCGACTGCCGATTTCCCCTGGGTGGGTCAGCTCAGGGGTGCCGTCTACGTGAAGCCGGGGCCAAAGGGGTGTGTTGCCTCTGCCAGGGAGCCTTGAAGGTCCAATCACCTGGCGTCAGCTCAACCCCCAAGATCCCCTTTTCCCCGGACACAGCAAAGCCACGCACGACTAGGCGTGGGAGGGAGTAGAAAGTCCCCCCTTTAGCTCGGGTCCGCGGTGTCGCTACACACCAAACGCCTACTTGCGCAGGCGCCCCTGCGGGCAGATTTAAACGGAAAACACTTATTCTCAGCATCTCCTTACCGATTTGGGGATCTGCCTGTGCTTTTGATGTGCCTGAAAACGTATCCAGAATTTATGCCAATACCATACTACAAAGGTCTAAAAGGGAAAGACATTCTCAGCATCTTCTTACCGATTTGGGGATCTGCCCGTGTTTTTCGGACGACTGAAAACGTACCCAAAATATGTGCTAATACCATACTACAAAACTTTAAAAGGAAAACACTTATTCTCAGCATCACCTTACCGATTTGGGGATTTGACCATGCTTTTCGGGCGTCTGAAAACATACCCAGGATATATGGCAATACCATATTACAAAGCTTTAAAAGCTTTAAAGGGGAAACGTTTATTCTCAGCATCACCTTACCGATTTAGGGATCTGCCCGTGCTTCTCAGGCGTCTGAAAACATATCCAGAATATATGCCAATACCATACTACAAAGGTATAAAAGGGAAATGCTCATTCTCAGCATTTTCTTATTGATTTGGGGATCTGCTTGTGCTTTTCAGGCGTCTGAAAACGTACCCAGACTATGTGCCAATACTATACTACATAAGTTTAAAAGGGAAAGGAATATTCTCAGTATTTCCTTACCCCTTTGGGCATTTGCCCGTGCTTTTCAGGTGTCTGAAAACGTACCCAGCATATATGCTAATACTATACTACAAATGCTTATTCTCAGCATCATCTTACCCCTTTGGGGATTTGCCCGTGCTTTTCAGGCGTCTGAAAACGTACCCAGAATATATGCCAATACCATACTACAGAGCTTTAAAAGGGAAACGCTTATTCTCAGCATCATCTTACCGATTTGGGGATCTGCATGTGCTTTTCAGTCATCTGAAAATGTACCCAGAATATATGCCAATACCATAATACAAAGGCTTAAAAGGAAAACGAATATCTCAGTATTTCCTTACCCCTTTGGGGATTTGCCCGTTCTTTTCAGGCATCTGAAAACGTACCCAGAATATATGCCAATATCATACTACTACAAATCTTTAGAAGAGAAACGCTTATTCTCAGCATCATCTTACCAATTTAGGGATCTGCCTGTGCTTTTCAGGCGTCTGAAAACGTACCCAGAATATATGCCAATACCATACTAGAAAGATTTAAAAGGAAAACATTTATTCTCGGCATCTCCTTACCCATTTGGGGATCTGCCTGTGCTTTTGAGGTGTCTGAAAACGTACCCAGAATATATGGCAATACCATACTACAAGAATTTAAAAGAGGAACGCATATTCTCAGCATCTCCTTACCCATTTAGGGATCTGCCAGTGCTTTTCAGGTGTCTGAAAACGCACCCAGAATATGTAACAATACCATAAAAGAAAGATTTTAAAAAGCAAACGCGTATTCTGGACTGCTTCTTACCCATTTGGGGCACGGCCTGCGCTTTTCAGGTGTCTGAAAACGTACCCAAACAGTTTATGAGCAGCTCTAGAAATCACTGGCCATACACGACTATTGGATGGACGTTAAGTATTTGGCGCCACACCACTCATACTTATGGCACGCTTAGGGAGATCAAACACAACTAAGCACCAGTATGGGTGGAATAAACAGTAGGGTTTGAGTTGACTCTTCAGCTTTCCAAGAAATGTTTTTGCTTTAAAGATCACTTGACTTGGCTACATGACAACATTATCAAGAATAACACGAGTGTCTATCTTTCTGAAGGTTTAGAAAGCGGTGCACCAGTGCTCACATTGATTCCGGTAAGAATAAATCATACGTAGACATAAATATACACGTGGACACCTGCATATTTCACATTCACATGCACAGCACCACAAAACAACAAAAATACCTTAGGCTGTAAAGGCAAGAGGCAAGCAAATAGAAAAAATTTATTAACTAATAGCGAGCTGAACCCAAGTTTGTTCTAAAAAAACATGCAGAGTTGCCTCGTGCGCTAAAATTTTAAAAATGCTTACACCAAGTTTGTTCTAAAAAAACATGCAGAGTTGCCTCGTGCGCTAAAATTTTAAAAATGCTTACACTATAACCTCGTTACAACGGATCTACATTCATCAGACAATTAGATACTACATACTAATTGCGGTCTTATGCCAACCTCCCTATTTCTTCCAGTGATTGAGCTTTGTTTTACTCTGGATCCTGGTACAACAGAGATTCGATTATAATTGACTCCTTTACTATGGACCTACCAAATTCAGCAACTTTCAACTTTAAACACCGCTTTGCATACTTCGGGACAGGAATAGTGCCGCGGATATCGACATACAAACTTAAGAATGAAGGCTGCCCCTCTCCGGTCTGTTAATAATTAGTCATGCCTAGCTAAAGCGACGCAAAATTGGCACGCAGCATGCTTGATGATTCGGCGTGTTGGGGCACTGGCGTGCAAAATTGCTGGCCATTGCAACCGGTGATCAGTGCATGGTGAGTATGGCTGGGGTCCGCTACCAAAGTGCAAGATACCTATTCGCTGTGCAAAGAAGCCAGCAGCCGATGTGATTTGTTGCTTGCGACGAAGCACATTACGGCTTCTTCACTTTCGCATATGCGCTAGCATGACAATCTTGCCCGCCAAGTTCAGGGCAGAATTAAGCCTTGTGGCGACTTCGAGCAGAAAGCGCGGCTGTGATGTGCATCACCGCAGTGCCCAATGTTTCAAAATACGACAAGCTCAATGGTGTGTACAAAAATCTGTCCCGCAGTGGTCTTCGTCACGAGGTCCAAAGCGCTGATAAGCGGAAACTTCCCGCCAACGAGACCACGCTATGGCGCATGTGCGATGTTCATGACAAGTAGGGCGCGCGATCGTAATCTGAGACTGAACTTCCGCTTGCAGCTGCCTTACCCATTAAAATGATGAATGTCATGCATAGCTCGGAAAACGCATCGTCAGCGCTAAGCACGAGACGCTCGCCCCGGACATTGTCGCTGCTTTCGCTGGCTAGGCCTACGCTCCTACCTCGTCTGAAATAACAGTTTTGACTGTCTCAATTCTTCATTTGGTAGAGTTTGCTGGGTCTCCTCGCAATCCTGGAGTTACGAAGCCGGACTCGACCTGCCGCTATGACCACTGCATCTGCCACAAGTCCTCCGCCTATGGCTCCCCAGGCCATCGTGTGCTCCGGCACGGTCCGTCAGCGGGACCCTTTCATATTCAGCAGCACGAACGATCACGACGTGGACGACTGGCTGGCTACCTACGAACTCATGTCTTAAACAAATGGGACGAAGTCACGAGACTGGCCACCGTCGGCATTTACCTCAGTGGTATTGCCCACTTGTGGCTGCGGAACCACGAAGCCGACGTTCCAACCTGGACAGCGTTCAAGACAAAGTTCAGCGAAGTATTCGGCCGTCCTGCTGTCCGCAAACTTCGTGCGGAGCAGCGCCTTCAGTCAAGATCTCAACTGCATGGTGAGAATTTCACCAGTTACATAGAAGACGTCATTGACTTGTGCAAACGCGTCGATGCGAACATGACAGAAGTGGACCGCATCAAGCATATTCTTAAGGGTATTGACAAGGACGCATTCCAGATGCTCATTTCAAAAAGCCCGGCTACTGTCGCTCCACTTACAGAGCTCTGCCAAAGCTATGATGAGCTCCGCCGGCAATGTCTCGTCACCCGCCGTGCTGTCCCACATCAGGAATCGATGTCCGGCTTAACTTCCTTGCAAGATCCCGTCCTCCTCTTGCAGATCAAATATTTTGTGCGCGAAGAAGTTGCCCGCCAACTGTCACCCATCTCGGCCTTCTGGAGCACAGTGCACCGCTTAGCCCTACACTACGGACTATTATACAAGACCAAGTGTCTGAGGTCCTTCCTCCGCAGCTGGTGCCACCAGTTAATGCACCATTGATGTATGCCGAAGCAGCAGCACGACCACGACCACAAACATTCCGAGCGCCGCCTCCGCTGCCTGCTCCTGTTTATGGCGCCCAGCCGCCACGACCTCCAGTCCACCGAGTCCCTAATCCATGCCGCACTGTCGACAACCGACCAATCTGCTTTTCGTGTGGTCTACCCGGACATGTCGCACGTCTGTGCCGACGACGCCCACTCCGTTCACGTGAAAACCCACGTTCGTATGAGTACGACCACACGTTTCCCTACACTCCAGACCCCGAATTGCACCCTCCTCGACCAAGCCACCGACCTTCTCCTGATCGCCTATCTCCTTCTCCACGTCATCGCTCGCCCTTCCCGATGCGCCGACGCCCCCCCACAATCCATGCGGAAAACTAAATGACGCAGTTCCCGAGGCAAGAACTGCGTCCTCGTCGCAAAGCACAAGCCCTCTTCGTTCACCGCCGAATGTAATTAATGCCGTTCTAGAAGGTGTACCTGTACTTGCCCTTATTGATACTGGTGCCGCCATTTTTGTAATTGCCGAAAAAGTTTGCCGTTCAATTCGTAAAGTTACAACTCCTTGCTTGGGTTTGTGTCTTCGTGCTGCCACTGCACAGCCTGTGCAGCCTGTGGGCGCGTGTACCGCCAGACTTGCAATTCAAGGAGTTCCCTACAAAGTGCAGTTCGTAGTACTCCCGCACTGTTCTCACGACATCATTTTAGGCAGGAATTTTCTCTCCGATCACCAAGCCATCATTGATAGCGCTCGTGCCGAAGTAGTTTTTTTGTCCCCTTGGTTATGCCCTACCTGCGGACGATCACCCTTCCTACACGAAGTTGGTCATTAGTGACGACACCCAGATCCCTCCGCGCGCTACTGTCTTCACACCTGTGTTGTGTTCTGCCGTTGTGAACGCTACCGCATTCTTCACACCTTCCGCTGCTTTCGTTCGTCGCCTTCTATCACCGCTCCCAACCGCTGTCATTACTCTTCAAGGTGGTGGGAGCGACGTGCCTGTGGGGAATCGGTTCCCATTCACGATTACGCTGCTTCGGGGCGAATGTATCGGCTCAATCGAATCATTCGAAATCATCGCTACACTTGACGTTCCTGATGGATCATTGGAAGTCAGCGCCCTCTCCAGTAATTCAGGGAATGGCCCTTCAACTGCCGATATTTTCAACAGTGTCATCGACGAAGGCCTAATTCCACAACAGAGGTGTGAGCTTTTGAACCTTCTTGACAAGTTTCGGCCATCTTTTGACAGTAACAGCGCTACCTTAGGTCGAACATCTACTGTATGCCACCAGATCGACACAGGTAATCACCAAGCACTACGGCAGCGACCGTACCGTGTTTCCCCGACTGAACGCCGTGTCATCGAGGAACAAGTAGGTGACATGCTGAAACGCGGCGTCATTCAACTATTAAACAGTCCTTGGGCGTCGCCGGTTGTTTTAGTTAGCACAATGCGCTTTTGCGTAGATTATGGTCGCCTAAACAAAATAACACGAAAGGATTTTTATCCTTTGCCTCAGATCGATGACGCCCTCGACTCTTTACAAGGCGCAGAGTTCTTTTCCTCCCTTGATCTATGCTCTGGGTATTGGCAAGTGCCCATGAATCCGGATGATAGACCAAAAACTGCCTTTGTTACACCAGACGGCTTATACGAATTTAACGTAATGCCATTCGACCTATGCAATGCACCAGCAACATTTGAGCGCATGATGGACACTATCCTACGTGGCCTCAAATGGAACACGTGTTTGTGCTACTTAGATGATGTGGTGGTGTTTTCGCCCGATTTTCCCACGCACCTTCGTCGCTTGGAACAGGTTAAACGCTGCCTTTCTGCAGCAGGCCTCCAACTAAACTTGAAGAAGTGTCACTTTGGAGCACGCAAACTGACCATTCTCGGACTCGTCGTGTCGAAGGATGGCGTTCTCTCTGACCCCACTAAGCTAGGTGCTGTTAGCGAGCTCCCGAGGCCCGCGTCTCTCAAGGAGCCGCGTAGTTTCATTGGGCTTTGCCCATACTTCCGCCGCTTCGTCCGGGATTTCGCTTCGATCATGGCACCTCTAACAGACCTACTTCAGGGAGACCGCAATCTATTTGCGTGGTCTCCAGCCTGCGACAGTGCCTTTGCGAAGCTCCGTGAACTGCTTACATCACCACCCATACTGCGACATTTTGATTCAAGCGCTCCCACGAAAATCCACATGGATGCTAGCGGTGTCGGTCTTGGCGCTGTACTCGCCCAACGGAAAGGAAGCCTGGTTACCAAGAATATGTTGTTGCGTACGCGAGCGGCATTCCTACAAGAACAGAAGCAAATTATTCGATAACTGAGAAAGAATGCCTAGCGATCATCTGGGCCATTACGAAATTTCCGCCTTATCTGTACGGCCGCCCTTTCGACGCCGTTACCGATCACCACACGCTTAGCTGGTTATCCTCCCTCAAGGATCTTTCCGGACGCTTGGCACGATGGGTTTTAAGGCTCCAAGAGTACGACATCCGTGTCATTTATCGCTCAGGCCAAAAGCATACCAATGCCGATGCTCTTTCGCG